CCGACAGTCCTGCAAACACAGCGGTCTGGTTCTGTAGGTGACATAAACACCGATAGTCCAAGGTTGTAAAAGTATAGCCCAAGTTTTGAAGTACCGGTATAGCAGTGGATACATCCAATCCAAGGGAATAAGAAAGTAAAACACTGCAAGATTTAGATTCCCGATAATTCAAGAACAGATACAGCAACTACACATTTTAACTCATAAGCTAAATAATGTGTTGCATGAGAGAATTTTATGGATGTCAACTTCTTTGTTATGAGGAACATGTTTCAGGGTGTATCTTTACTCCTTCATCAGGTGAATGAATGCTATGAGGCACAGTGCCTTCCAGGTTTGGAAGACTGACTGACTGACTGAGTTTAGTTTTACGCCGCTTTTAGCAATATTCCAGCAATATCACGGCGGGGGGCACCAGAAATGGGCTTAACACATTGTGCCCATGTGGGGAATCGAACCCAGGTCTTCGGAGTGACGAGCCAACGCTTTAACCACTAGGCTACCCCACCGCCCCAGGTTTGGAAGAGAAATTGTATGATTATTTAACATTGTAATCAGAAAATGCAGCAGTTTAAAACATAAAATGTCATTAGTATTTACAATAATCTGATCTTTGACGAACACATGATGCTCCTTGACAAGTCACCTAAAGCACGTCAATGTCCTTGTGCAGAGTTATGTCCCTTGTGCATGCCAGAAGCCTATAACTGTTGGTTTGAATCCCAGTTGGGTATGCTTATGTCCTGGGTTTGTCAGCACCACAGCCATGCCCCATGGTTTTATGAAAGTGGTAAACACCTTACGCCTACATCACTTCAGCCTTTCCTTCGACATCAGGATGACACGTTGGGATGTACTGCTAACTGAATATTCTTCAAAGCAGTATTAAACCAAACTCACTCACTCCTTAACATGACATTAAGATGGAAGAATCGACTAAGAAATTTGCAGAAAGGTTTGATATTTTAGCAGTTATGAAACATGTCCTAAGTGACTCACCAATCAAATTAGCTCTGAATGGTTAAAGGCACAATGTCACACATTTTTGACAATATTTTGGTCTATATTATATATATTGGGGGCAAATGCACTCACTTAAGCTTCCTATTGATGCAATAAAAGACTTACTATCCCTTACGACTTGCCTGAAATCAATAATTGAAACTTCGAGGTGAACAGCTTCCAAACAGATAACACTTGCCATATATGGAATGTAAACGATTGCTCCGTACATCGAACACTGTCTCATCGCGGTGCTGTCAGTGTTTGCCGAACTGGTTTCAATCACAAGTTGTGCGTAGGATATTCGTAAAGAGTGCTCCAAAAGACATTACTCTATGGGGTTCGCTTTAAATAATGTTCGGCCGGTAGTGGGCACGAGGGTCGATTTTATGCAACTTTGCATTAATCCATTCGAACTTTTAATTTAATATTGTAATCTAAATAAGTAATTTTTTAAGGATAAATTATATGGTAGCTTCTCTGAGGGCTGATAGTTAGTATTATTGACAGAAATGCATTATGTATTTTTTTTAGAAGTGTGGTGTGATATTGTGCCTTAAAGTAAAGAATAACTCTAAATTTTAGATTGTGTCTGAACAGTTTGGCTTGTCATGCTTGAAAATGGTGTACATATCTATATCAAAACGTGGCTATTGTACAATAAAGAAGCTGATCATCCATTAAGACTTGCCATTCCTATTCCTCAGCAATGTTGTATATTAATTGTATGTCCACTTCTCTCTGCAATGGAGTTCCATCCCAACCAGACCAACATGAATTTCCTTATCAAACAATGTGTAGTATACATCACTGTAGACATGCCCAAATACCCTCTATTACTGCATAAAGAAATTCCCACACACTGAGATCATGAGTGTTAAACTACATGTTAATTAGTCTTCAGGTAATCAGGCTAATTGTCTCAACATCCTGCATGAAGTGGACATTTCACTGAAAGATTCCACCTGACTCAGATGGGTCCCATGGCAAACATTCAGCCATGACATGGTCATGTTGACATTAAACATTAGCCTCATGGTTAATAACAAGATTAAGTTGGCTAAAGTTTAGATGAAATTAAGTAGACCTGACCCCACAGACCTTGTACACACTTTCATGTTTGACTTCTCAGGTGCCATGATTCAGAAAATGACCCTCACTCTTCCTATATCATCTGCTGAACTGACCTCAGTTTGATTTACAGAGGATGAACGAATGTCTTTCTTGTTTTATGGATGAATGTGCAGCATTTATTTAAAAAACAAAAAATGAAAACTTAGGCTAACTGCCAGTTACAATATTTAACTCCCCTAACTGACTGTAGTATTGCTTTAACAGTTGACATGAGAAAAGGACAAGTATTAAATAAACCAATGTTTTCCAGGCAGAAGCCCTCATCAAATATGCATTGAACTGTATTGGTATGCTTTTGCAAATGACCATTCTTTAAATCTTTTAAACAAAAAGATGTTAATTAAGCCATTTTGTTTAAAAAAGGAAATAATAAAAACCTTAAAATTTGTTGTTTTTGCATGTCCAAACACAAGATTCTGCCATGTAAAACACAAAATTATACTGGTCAGATAAACTAGATAGACAAAGTATTCATAAGAAAAAAAATCATCCGTCAAGACTTCACAGCTTAACAATAGTCAATTGCTTAACTTCTTTTGAGTAGCATAACAGTTGGGTGTAACTCACTTCATGATTACATTTCACAATGAACAATCCATTGACAATATTCCCCTATAATACAGCTATATAATATAATTCCAGTTACAATACTATATTAACTGAAGTAAATGTCTTGAAGTACACACTCAATATGTTGAGTTTCTTCACCAGTGCTGGGTATTGTGCAATGCAGATTAGATCTATGCACATGACTACCGAATACTGGCGGGTGTTAACGTAAGAGGGTGCAATGGGTACAAGCAGCTTGAGTGTTGGGTTGTGTCCAGACCACACCTGCACTAGGGGTAAAGAGGGTGAGGCGGGAAGGGCTAGGGGTTACTGACTATAGATAGGGGTGAGAGGCAATGAGGATAAGATAGGAATTGCATATAGCAAGGGGACAGGGTTGTAGGGTTAATGGTATTGGGTTGGGTGGGCAGGGATGACCTATGCCACTTGGTTGATCATACCTACATATGGGTTAGGATTAGGGTTGAGGTGTTGGGTTGCATAGGGTTTGGCTGGGCAGGGATAAGGTGTAAAGTTGGAACGGGTGACCTCTACGACTTAGATAAATGTATATGATCATAACCAGACATGGGTTAGGGTGAGATGTTGGGGTGTTGGGTTGCATAGGGTTTGGCTAGGCAGGGATAAGGTGTAAAGTTGCAACGGGTGACCTCTACGACTTAGATAAATGTATATGATCATAACCAGACATGGGTTAGGGTTTAGGGGTGAAGAGAAAATTGATGATATTAAAATGTAAAAATACACTTTCATAAAGTGATGATAAAAACACAAGTACTGCCTAGTACCAGCTTGCGACATGGTGTCCTTTCATGGGGACTAAGTATAGCCAAACACCAGCCTGGCTTCTGCCAAATCCAGTTTTACGATAATCACATATATCACTTATTACAATGTCTAAAAACTGGACTAACTGTGGAGCACAATGTCCCTTTAAAATTTTGATTTCCAACACATAAAAACAAAACCAATTCAAGTGAATTAATTGCACTCAGTTAAAAAAATTCAGTGGAAATAATATTTTCCCAATAGTCATTCTGTTAGCAACTGATATCTCAGCACCTAAAACCGTGGTGAAGTTTGCAAAGCACACTCAGAAAAGGCAATCAGAGGCTTCTAGTTCCTGGAGATATTGGTGTTTCCATGATTAAGTTTGAATCGATACACATGGGCCATAACCGCTGTAGTGCACATCCTGTTCACGAAGAAGCGTCCCGCAGCGGCCATACTGACCTGCCCGTCAAGGTAGAAACGAGACGCAGAGCCAGGTGTGGGTTTATCAACGGTATTACTCACACTCCAACTCGTCATAAATATCAGGTGATTGGTAACTCAGCAGAAACAAGCTGGCACTTCGGGTAGAGTGACCTCCCACATCATGGGCCTCAGTCAGGTAGAAGTGCCAGGTGAGATGACTGATAAGCATGGCAGGAGATCTACCCATTCAACATCCAAACATCCAACACTGGGAGCTGTCTTGTTTTTTTGTTCAATAGTATAAAGCTGTCAGGTGCAATTTTGTTTTTCAAAGAAAAATTAAACTGATTAACACAAATTTGACTCTGACTTTTACTGAATTTTCTGCATGGTAAATATGAAAAAATGAATATTACTGGAAACTGTTCAAATGTCATAATTAATAAACATATATATTCGTATGGAAATAATATATAAACTTCCTTCATAATAGGGCAGTGTGGTAGCCTTGTGGTTAAAGTGTTCGCTCGTCATGCGAAGACCCACGTTTGATTCCCCACATGAGCACAATGTGTGAAGCCCATTTCTGGTGTCCCCTGCCGTGATATTGCTGGATTATTGCTAAAATCTCACTCACTCATCATAACCGTCAGGTGAAGAATGATAATGGGATTCTCTATCCATGCACAATCACAAGAGTGCTAAATATATTGTCTTACCTGGGCCTAAGCATGTCAAAACATATAAGTGTACATAGTATTAATAACAAATAATAACTTTCTAGGGAGAAACTTAACAAACTACAAAGGTATATCTTTCAACCAACTCATGATTAAATGGCTCATTAACTCTTAACATACAAACTGAATCTCATAAACACCCCAAACAGGAAGGGATTTTCTGAGGAAATAAGTGTATTATCAAAGCAAAGAACCTTGAAAAACACTTGTTTCTTCTGGTTAACAAACAGATATTACATACCGGTACTCAGGCTGGTTTCCTGGAATCTGAACAACTACACCATTCAAAGTCACACTCATTGGGAAACTGGTTACCTGCTTTCAACCGGATTAAACAGAACGTGTGATATCCATTACCTCTTTTGAATTTGAAAGTGTCTAAATTTCATCCTCATAAGCATTTTCACAAGCACAATGAGTGAAACTTCACCAGCATAACTGGAAACATATTCCTACAACGACACATGCACTTAGAACGAGAAATGACGTATTGTTACAAGAAATAAGTCATGCTTAGCAAACTGATCTTCTGTTACATTTAACCACTGATGTTTCAGGACAATATGACCTTCATAACTTCCTTGTAGTGACAACACTAGCATACACATGTCATACTGACACAGGTGTCACTGTTAGGGTTAACAAAAACCACGCTGGATAGATTTCTGCACCTGTTCACATGACCACTCATTGTGAATAGACGGATGAGAAAAACTGAATTGCAGAATTATCCTGAATGCTTGAATTACTTATTATCCTCACGTAACACAGTATCTCCCAAGATGTTGAACCAATAGAGTATTCTTCTTGACTGTCAGAGCATGGCTACGGTTGTAGCAGTCAGTATTTCCGTGGAAAAAACCAAAAAGCATTGAGCAACCCTGTTTTGTCTCAACTTCTCAGTGTAATAGGTAACATTACGAATCACAAATCGGTATTTTGTATCAATGCTGATTCTTTTCATGTTAGTGTAGGGAGATAATATCTACTGCCTCAGTGTCTATAATCATTTTGTATGGGTTGATTAATACTTAACACTTCATCTAGGGGCGGTGGGATAGTGTAGTGGTTAAAGTGTTGGCTCATCATGACGAAGACCCAGGTTCAATTCCCAACATGGGTACAATGTGTGAAGCCCATTTCTGGTGTCCCCTGCCATGATATTGCCGGATGACTGCTAAAAGCTGCGTAAAACCTAACTCACTCACTAACACTGCACCAACATCTTGACTTATGTGAAGGGTTAACAATGTTGACTACATTGTCAGAATTGTGTCACTTATATGTGAGGATGAATAATGCCAAACTCCACTGTTGTCATTTATATTTGGGGGTTGAATAAAAATTAATAGTACATCAGCATTCATTGCTATTTATTGTTTGGGTTGAATAACAATAGTACTTCAGCTATTTATTGTTATTTATACTTGGGCTTCAATAATACCTAACTACATTGATATCTGTTGTCATGTATCTCTGAGGTTAAATATAGCTTAATAGTGCATCACACACTTACAGGCATTTACATAGAAATTGGAAAATGTGTTAGGGCTGAAACATACATAAACCTGCATCAACATCTGTTGTAACTCATAGCTCAGGGTTTGACAAAGTTTAATAGTGCAGCTACATTTATGGTTGTGCATAACTGCTTTTCAAGTAACATATAAGATAATCCACAAATGTTTCTCAAGGAATCACAACAAAAAATTAAGGCAGGTTGGACAACAGGAATTACAACAATGTGGGCTGATATGTGTATTCAAGACAAAATATGTTTACAAGCCATTCAAACTCCACTTCCTCTACACATGAAGTATATGGGACATGAAGTTAAATGAAATCATATTTTTTAAATTTCTTTGCATTTCCTATTTAAAATTCAACAGGTGCGTCAGGGCTACTCTGACTGACTACAGCAAGTGTCTCTGAAGACAGCTGCACTGACAGCAGCAAATGCAGTCCTCAATGGCCTGCGTTGCGTCTTAAGCACATTGTCAGTCAGGGAGAACTAGTGAAGATCAAGGTCTATTTGTTAAACTAGGAAAATATTGATACCCCAAATTATTTTTTTGTTTTGCTTACATTACAACTCATTTTTGGTCCTGTAGGTCAGTATGAATAAATATGTTAAATGTGAATGAAACTTGAACTCACAAAATTTCCTATTTATTTACTTGAGGAGAATTTGAGGAGTTTTGAGGAGTTTTCCTTCTGACATATTTCTTACTCCCTATTGTAGTTACTATCATTACTCCTTATTTCAATAATTCAGCTAATTATCTTCTGTATACTTGCAAGAGTTGCAATTCAATCAGACAGAACTAAACCTAGTCCTTATCTTCAGAAAAAAAAATGTGCATTATGTCAGAGAAAATCATTAATGAATCAACCTGTGAAGATCCAGGTTAGAATTGTTCTTCAGTAACCCATGCTTGTCGTAAGAGGCGACTAACATGATCGGGTGGTCAGGCTCGCTGACTTGGTTGACACATGTCACTGTATCCCAATTGCGAAGATCGATGCTAATGATGTCGATCACTGGATTGTCTGGTCCAGACTCGATTATTTACAGACCGCCTCCATATTGCTGAGTGTGGCGTTAAACATTTAAAACAACCAATCCACCATCAATGAATCAGCAGCCACCCAACTGACAGTAATAATATACGCACATGTACTCTACACGTGATTATCTCACCGGATGTTGATTACACATCATGCAGGTTCTCGTCTTTGTGTGGATTGATAACTTTGCTCTTTATCTGTACTCAGACACTTGTTATTGTATGCCTAGATACGGTATTATACACATGGTTGGTGGTGAAAGGCAACAATGTGACAGATACTGGTGTATTATGGTGTATTGCACTTTTATCACAGAAGTCCTCCAGATAACACTTCATTATGTAGTGAGTCCCAATCCACAAAGTGTTCGTAACATTAGGGCCTATCGTAACTACATAGTTTATCACAAGCTTATGACTGTTGTAGTGTTACTAAAAGAGTGAGTGAGTGAGTGAGTGAGTGAGTGAGGTTAGCCTTGTGTTTAAAGCATTCGCTCGTCAGGATGAAGAGTTTGAATCCACATATGGGTACAATGTGTGATGTCATTATCTGGTCTCCCCTGTCATGATGTTGCCTGAATATTGCTGAAAGCGACATAAAACCATACTTACTCACTCACTGTGTCAATCAGCACAGTGAGTGAGTGAGTTTAGTTTTACGCCACACTCAGCAATATTCCAGCTATATGGCAGCGATCTGTAAATAATTGGGTCTGAACCAGACAATCCAGTGATCAACAGCATAAGCATCGATCTGCGCAATTGGGAACCGATGACATCTGTCAACCAAGTCAGCGAGCCTGACCACCAGATCCTGTTAGTCACCTCTTACGACAAGCATGGGTTACTGAAGGTTCATTCTAACCCTGACCTTCACAGGTGTTACTATAAGAATGGAATAGTACTATACATAAGTTTTCAAACCAATAAGTACCACACTATTCTTCACTGGAATTGATGAGTTCTGGTATGATATTGTGTTGCCATCATAAAAAGACCTTGTTTCATACATTGGGATCTTTGGTGCAGTGTTAGCCAATGGCAATGTAGGATTTTGAAGAAACCCACTTGCCATTGACACAAAATGACGTTTTCTTGTTAAAGTGGAATGTAATGTTTGATGATATTGTGCTGTTATTATTCTAAGACCATGTCTTGTGCATTTGGTTTTGGGGCCAGTATTTGCCAAATTAGAGGAAATCCATTAGCAGATGACACAAATTGATGCATTCCCATTTAAGTGAAATGTAATACTCAATACAGTAATCTAAAGCTGGACAATATTTTGAGAATGTTTTTGAGAATAAACAGACATAAAACAGCAACAATTAATCATGAGAACACATCGTATTGTTTGCCTGCATATTTGAAACAGCTGTACTTAATTATCCATTCATATTTGACAAGCTTTCATCCGGACAGTAAACCCACAGCATCTCTCTTTAGCACTGTCAAGGTATTGGCATAATTAAAGTTATTCATGGCGATCACAACCACTTTCAAATTTCTTCATGTCCATACTGGCTTTACTAGCTCACAACACCAAGCGACTTCTCCAGATACCTGCACAGACATCTGCCCATCCTAGTCCTCAATGGCCTGTTCTACTTGTCTACCACACTGTCAGTCAGGATGACTAGTTAAGAACACCTAGCGAGCCTAAGTCTCCATCATATGACCTGTGTCAATATTTGTTGTCGTCAAAAGGAGAAAGCATTCCTCACAAAACTGCTTACTTCTATACGCTGCTCATTTGGTGAACTTGACTCAAGACGTCTGCTTCTTTCCCAATAGAGAAATTCAAATTCTAGTCTCATGTCTGCTGTAGATGACGCATGAAAGGAGGTGCTGTTTCAAGGGTTGACTGACAATACTATAGGAAGTGGAACAGACTGTTGGACTTGTAAATGAAACCATGAACACATTGTCTACACATAAACAGTTCAACTGTGTCAGAAACTGACATTATACAGTGTTCCGTATTTTATGCAAAGGCTAAATTGTTTAACTGCCATTATACTGCTGAGTAGATGAAGTATAGAAAATCATTAAGAACATGCTGAATCAAAACTATTTTGGTTGTTTGTTAAAATGCCGTCTACAAATCTGCTTTCAAATTTTATTAGTTATGTGTATTGACTTCAAGCAAGAAAGCTACCTCCTGCACAGTTCTCCCCTCTGTGGGGACAATCTTCTTCCAACAGAGGAATATTTGTAATTGGTTATTTATTTCCCTATAAATTCTTTCCATGGGAAGTAATATCCTAGGTTAAAACATTCCAGAGCAACATTTTTTCAAGGATATTATTTCCACAGGCAGTTTATTGAACATTTTCTATGAATATTCTTTCCTCTTTCTTTCCTTTAATTCCAAAACATTAATTGGTGACATATTTCTTCCTTCTACAAAGCAGGAACATTTTCTATTAATATTTTTTCCTCTGGAAACTATTTAATCCCAAAACAATATTTGATTACATATTTCTTTCTTTCTACAAAGCATTTGTTGCATCAACTGTAAATTTGACCCCATAGCAACATTACATCCAATGCAGTCCATTCTATCCAAAATATTATATATTCTTCTAACTGTATGAATATTGTATGAAGAGCTGTTCTATCTGGAGGACACTGGATCCTAAATGAAATTGTTTTAGCCAACCACCTGAAATGATTCAGAAACATTTTACCAAACATTTTAATTCAACTGCAGAACATTTTCTCCCAGTGGCAAACCATTTTTTCCCCAAATTGAGAAATGACACAGTTTGTAAGTGTAAGTAAAGATTCACAATGACCCCCTACTGGTGGTACAGGAAAACCATGCGAGATAAAGTCAAACTATCTACAGCAGATATCAGGCCCTTGAGGGTCCACGCAGCTTGTCTCTACTATCTGCAGTGGAGATATCGAACAGGAAGTTGACAGATAAGGCAGGGGTATCTTCCCCTACCTGAGTTTCAGCTTACTGTTGTCATGACTACAAGAGGTGGCAGCTGGTTGTGTCAAACTAATCCATTTGTGTATAAGGAAACCCTCTATACACCATTTGGAAAAACAATGAAAACACTAACTTTCAAGTGCTGACAATTTGTCAGATGTTTGAAGCCTGTGAACACACTCATTAGGGTTCATAAACACACTGTGAAATTTGTAAACTGTCTGCTCAGACAATCCAACCTATGACAAAATTCCCATTTATTTTCAACTGCACAATACACATCACCAGACTGACTGACTGAGTTTAGTTTTACGCCGCTTTTAGCAATATTCCAGCAATATCACGGCGGGGGACACCATAAATGGGCTTAACACATTGTGCCCATGTGGGGAATCGAACCGGGTCTTCGGGCGTGATTTAACCACTGGCTACCCCACTGCCCCACACATCACCAGACTGAATTAAGATAATGAACTATTTTCTGATGATTTATTTTTCAATTTAAATTTTTTATTACAGTCAAACCCTGTTACAAAGTAGGAATAAACCTTCTGGGGAAGGTCAGAGCTGATATGATGTACTGAGGTGAAATTACAATATGTATAGAGTGAGTGAGTGAGTTTGATCAAGTTTTTGCTTAGTCCGTTGTCTTTTCATTTAGCAATAGTTACTCTGCACAGGGATATCATGTATGTTTCAAATGTGTAAGAATAATACTCTTCTAAAAATGTTAGTCAGTGAGTGAGTGAGTGAGTTAGGTTTTATGCCACTTTTAGCAATATTCTGGCAATATCACAGCAGGGGATACCAGAAATAGGCTTCTTACACTGTACCCATATGGGGAATCCTACCCTGGTCTTTGGCGTGACGAGCGAACGGTTTAACCACTAGGCTAATCCATTGCCCCCAATATGCATAGTGATAAGTTTTGTCATGACATGCTATGCATCAAAACTACTAATATAAATCTTAACAAAAGCTATATAAATCTTAACCTGGTTATTTTCAAATATTCTTCATGATCTCAAATGATCATAATACTGACAGCTCACTTTGATAACATTCAAGTTTGCTAACACTATATCCGTGCTTGTAGGTTTCACCAAAGTGTAAACACTTCAGGCTTTCCTTGTATATTAAGCTGACGCAACACTATGTTACTTGACTACTGGTCAAATGAGTGAGTGAGTGAGTGAGTTTAATTACAAACTGCTTTTAGCAATATTCTAGCAATATCGCTACAGGGGACAGCCAAAAATAAAAGGGCTTCACACATTGTACCCATGTGTCTTCAGCGTGAAGAGTGACAGCTTTAACCACTAGGCTACCCCATCGCCCTGACTACAGGTCAAACAGCATTAATCCCAACTCACCCATCATGTCCACTCAGGCTCATTACTGTCTGACAACACAATACTAACTAATAGAATTCCTAAGCAAACATATTCATACTAGGTTTCTCACTACATGGTGAAACAACCACTATCAATTATTTACTGTATCCACATGGGACTAGGATATGCTTGACAGTGCTGCATGCCATTCAATAGAGGGAGTATGTGTGTGTGTGCAGCAGGCAGTGATGACACATTTAGTGTCAATGCCATTAATCAAATCCAGGAACTGTAGTCTGAATGACAGCCTGCATTATTATGCATATATCATGGCTAAATCACTATCTCTTACAGATCAAACAAATGCATAAAACTTACTTCAAGGTGTAGTGAGTGAGTTTAGTTTTACGCCGCTTTTAACAATATTCCAGCAATATCACAGCAGGGGACAGCAGAAATGGGCTTCACACATTGTACCCATGTGGGGAATTGAACCCAGGTCTTCGGTGTGACAGCAAACACTTTAACCACTAGCTACCCCACTGCCCCACTTCAAGGGGTAAGTAAAGTCACATATAAGCAATGGAAAGTTAAAAATTACATTTGTTTTTTCTATAAAAAAATAATGGAAAAAAAAGATACAAGACACGGTAGATTTGTAGTTTTCACGCTCTGTATTACCACTTCTGATATTTGATTGGATGGCTTATCAGAGCGCCAAAAAGTCAGACTGTAAATGTATCTATTGTGACGAATGGGCCCAGGATATTTATCATAACAGATTGGAGATTTAACACACTGATTAATATGGATGAAAAATATGCCATTGTAACATTGTACACTGAATGTACTTTGGAGCGAAGGATAAAATTTGTTTCATAAAATCTATGACCTTCAGCATCCTAATCTATATGTTTGATCTAATACCCAACAGTAAGGATCAAACAGTGACCCAACTAGAACTTTCCATTCACGGAGAGTAAGTCAAGTCACACAAACTCGTGCCTGTCCTTCATTGCTGTAAGTTTTCCTGACCTTTGAATGACTAAGAGTGTTTCCTGAGATAGTGGTTTTCTCAAGATTAGATTCTCTCGGTGCCAAGGAAACCCCAAGTTGGACGGCAAGTTTCAACACTCACAGCTACCAAGTTTACAAATGTTTCCAAGTAAAGCGGATATCTGCCCTCAGAACAGGCCGCACCTAGGACGGTAGGAGGAGCGTGTGACTTTGCAAAGTTATAAGGTTTGCCAAAGGGACCATTTGTCACTAGGCAGTTGACAGCATTAATCAGTGTCTGACATGCAAACTAGCAGAAGGGTGGACTTTGAGCCTGATAACGGGGGCTACCTACCTAGGCCTGTCTGGGTGGATAAACTTCCTGGCTGAGAATGAGCGGGAACAGTAGATGGCGCTGCGAGTGGAGACAGTGCTGACTTCGCCTGGTGTTCCAGAATCTCATGATGCTTCTTCTTCAATTCTTTCAGCTCATTCTGAAACAGAATTAGGAAAATATTCGTTAGATTTGATTCTGATGATTACTATTCAGGTTTTTGTTATATGAACAGATAATATTGTGTGTGGAGAGGGATTATTTTGGCCCACTGCATAAATTATGTCAATTAGAAGACCTTCGCATCATTTTCCACATTAATTTACAAGGGACTGATAATGCATTTTCACAAATATTTCTTTATTTTGCTCAATTTCTGGGGTCCTCCTCTGCACAAACATTCTGAGAAATGACTGAGGCAATGTTAAATTCCATCTAGGTCACTTTGCTAACAAGCGAAACAAGGGGTATTAGTAGCGTAGTTTTTACCCCGCTGCTACTGGTTAACTGTAGTTCAGTAAAAACAATATCATGAACTACCCTTATTTCCACTACTCATCTAACATGTCATCATGACAACAGAAAAGAAAACATGAAAAGATCCACAATCATTAAAAGGCACCAGTTCACCACAAAACTGATCTGTACAGCAGGCTTCAATAAGACCGTGATTAGGACCCCATCGCTGGGGGGTCGGCTTATGTTCGAAACATACCATTTTGACACTGAATCTAAGGGTCAAGTTAGGGGTGGGCTTATCTATGAGATCGGCTTATCTACGGTAATATACGGTAGATGTTCTGGATGGACAGTCATACATGCTGATTGCTATACCCACCTGTTTGTCAAAGCGGTTGTCGAAAAATAAAATGGATGGATTATGCTCAGCTTGAAGAAAAACATATTTCTCAGTGAGATTTACCAATACAATAATGCTTTGGGGGTATATTTCATATTGTACCACTGGGTGGATTATATCCATTGTTCCAATTGTGGCAAGAAGGGTGCAAACCTTAGTCCATGGTTACGGAAAAAGGGCATATTTCATATTGTACCACTTGGTGGATTGTATCCATTGTTCCAATTGTGGCAAGAAGGGTGCAAACCTTAGTCCATGGTTACAAAACAGGGCATATTTCATATTGTACCACTTGGTGGATTATATCCATTGTTCCAATTGTGGCAAGAAGGGTGCAAACCTTAGTCCATGGTTACGAAACAGGGCATATTTCATATTGTACCACTTGGTGGATTGTATCCATTGTTCCAATTGTGGCAAGAGTGAGTGAGTGAGTATGGTTTTTACGCCGTTTTTAGCAATATTCCAGCAGTATAACAGCAGGGGACACCACAAATGGGCTTCACACATTGAGCCCATGTGGGGAATCGAACCAGGGTCTTCGGCGTGACGAGCAAACGCTTTAACCACTAGGCTACCCCACCGCCCCAATTGTGGCAAGAAGGGTGCAAACCTTAGTCCATGTTTACAAATCATCATGTAATGTGTAATGACCATGGTCCATGTGGTGTAAGCTGAATAGGTCCCTCCCATCTGCAGGTGATACCCAACTTACTGATAAGATTGAGAGTCTTTCATTAACTTTCATGTAATTGTGCCAACTATTGGCATGATTGTCCTTGGTTATAAATAGCTTAGAGTCATCCTCAAGGGTGACAGATACTTTCACCTTTCAAGACATCAGCCAAGAGAAATAAAGCCCATTTTATGTCATTTTTAGCAACATGCCAGCAATATCATGGTGGAGTATATGAGAAATGGTCTTTACACATTGTATACAAGTGGGGAATCAAACCCAGGCCTTTGGTATTATAAGCAAGGGCTTTAACAACAAGGCTACCAGACCATCATTCAATTTACAATTCAGAGAGTTCAGAAACATATGGAGGGTATCTGCTAACATGCTATATTTATCCTCAGCTTTTACAAAAGGCGCGTGTCTACTTTGAGATCTACATGATAGTTTGGGGTCCTGAAAATGTAATTTTTAGAGTAAAATTGATATTTTATACTTATCCTGACTCATGAGGTAAGCCCTCCCATCCTCCCCACATAACACTTTGGATTTCCCTGTAAATTCAAATGTTGGGCTCAGTATATGAGGAGAGAGTGAGGCACATGGGTGGAGGTGGCGCCCTCGTTCCCGCGCTTGTGGAAGGGAGGTAACTCGTGCTGAGTACTAATTAGTGATTTTACATTGAAGGGAGCTTCAATTAGGGAGATACAAGTGTTCCACTATGTTCGCAAGAAGAAGAAGACAAGCAAAAAGAGCATGAGTCAGGATAAGTATAAAATATCAATTTTACTCTAAAAATTACATATTTTTCCTTATCCTGACTCATGCTCTTTTTGCTTGTAGCATCCGACGGAAAGGGAGGTGGGAAATATATAATACTTTGGATTTTAATAATTAGTGATTTGAACTGTGATGATTGTAATAACCCTATGGGAACTTCATAAAGGTACTGAACTGATGAATTCCTGCTGCTAACTTATCAGCTGCCATATAAAGGTTATTACAATGTACTTATTATGATAAAGTATATATAACATTAATACAATGCTTAAGACTAATAGACTTAAGCTTGTTAATATGCTAGTATAAACTCCTTAGAGTTTGTTAGCTAAAAAACTTTAAGATATAAACATAGTACTAAGCTTAAGATATGATTAAACTTAAGCTAATTATATAATAGCAAAACTCTTTAGAGTTTGTTAGTTAATATACTTATATGATATAGATATAATGCTGAGCTTTAGATATGAATAAGCTTTAGCTACATATATAATAGCAAAACTCTGTAGAGTTTGTTAGCTAATATATTTTTACAATATAAGTATAGTACTGTGCTTAAGATATAATTAACTTAAGCTACATATATAATAGCCAAAACTCTGTAGAGTTTATTAGCTTATAGATTAATAATGTAACCATAGTACTAAGCTTAAGATAAGATTAGACTTAAGCTAAATGTATATAGCAAAAAAAAACTCCTTAGAGTTTATTAACTAATATACTTTTATGTTATAACCATAGTACTGAACTTAAGATATAATTAAATTTAAGCTATATATATAATAGCAAAACTCCGTGGAGTTTTGTTAGCTAATACATTTTATAATGTAACCATACTGCTTAAGATATGATGAAACTTAAGCTAATTGTATAATAGCAAAACCCTTTAGAGTTTGTTAGCTAAAATACTTATATGATATAAACCTAGTATTGAGTTTATGAAGGAAACCTTAAGCTACATATATAATAGCAAAACTCCGTGAGAGTTTGTTAGCTAATATACTTATATGATATAAACATAGTATTGAGCTTAAGATTTGAAGGAAACTTAAGCTACATATATAATAGCAAAACTCCGTGAGTTTGTTAGCTAATACAAGTTATAATGTAACCATAAAGCTTAAATTATGATGAAACTTAAGCCAAATATATAATAGCAAAAAACTCTTTTAGAGTTTTGATAGCTAAAATACCTATATGATATAAACATAGTACTGCTCTTAAGATATGAATAAGCTTAAGTTACATATAGCAAAAACTCCGTGGGAGTTTGTTAGCTAATACATGTTATAATGTAACCATATTGCTTAAGATATGATGAGACTTAAGCCAAATAGCAAAAACTCTTTAGAGTTTGTTAGCTAATATACTTATATGATATAAACATAGTACTGAGCTTAAGATATGAATAAGCTTAAGCTACCTATATAATAGCCCAAACTCTGTAGAGTTTGTTAGCTTATATATTTTACAATCTGAGTATAGTACTATGCTTAAGATATAATTAAGTTAAGGTAAATATATAATAACCAACTCTGTAGAGTTGTTAACTTATATATTGTATGATGTAATAATCATAGTACTGTGATGATAAAAAGAACTTAAGCAAATTATATATAGCATGTAGCTATTTAGTACTGTTATAAGATAAGTAGAAATCTGTAAGATTGACTTATCTTCTCCGAGGAACTGTCAACTGTTGTGCGAGGACCATGGGATCGAATTGTGGATACCTGAGACGCCCTCGGTGATGATATCTCTCAGATAATGGTTGGCAACCACCATATCGGATCTCCAGAAAATAAACCCTCCATTATTTCAAATAACATTGTGTAGATCAATGCAGAAGTTAGCTTCTAATATCATGAGTATTAAAAGCTCATGGAGGGTCGGATTGGGTCCATCCGTCTTGTATGCACGTAGTATGACAGTTCTGATCCAAACGGAGATATAGTGCGTGAGATTTCATTCTGCGTGAAGTTGATGATAGAGGAAATAATCTGTTGTATTATTCCCTTCTGTTTGGTTCGGTGGAGATAAATTTACAGTGCTCTTGCTGGCCATCGTGATAGAATCATCGTATCATGAAGTCCAAGTATGTCATCCAGGCGTATTCATAAACCTCACTTGTGAGGTGTTGGAGCACTATATTCAGATCCCCAAGTTGGAGGGTGAAACTTCGCTTTAATTCTCCAATCAGAAAGTTTAAGTAGGTTTACTAACCATCTAGTTGTGTTAGTAGCTTGATTATGAAATTCAGCTGTAGTCTGAGACGCTGTGGATTTAGATCCACTTGTATCCCGTCGTCTAGGTTATTCGCTGCGAAGTCCTTGACGATGTAGGTGCACAACCAGGTGTGTCTGTCCTCGTTGAAGTTTATGTAAAATTGCCTGACTGCCGCGCCCTCGTCCCTAACTTGACAGGGGAGGTCTCTAACCTGAAGAAAACAGCCCGATCATGAAGGTTCAGATTAACTGGACTGTAAGGAGGCTTGCTCGTTCACTGATATATAGTTGTCACTTGTAACGTAAGTGTTGACCTGTGAACTAAGATCGACCTCTCGTGGAGTGGTCGTTGTCCAACGCGCGTCCAATCAGAACAAGGCATTTTGATTCTGTAGAATACCCGCTGTGATGTCACCGGTGTAGCAGGAAAAACCTTGTATAAAATCTTGCCTTCGCTGATATTAGCATAATCGCCGGTCTTCACCGTAGCTTCGAAGTTACCCGAGTGACCACGTTTTCGAGGGTTAAAGGTAAACGCTGAAAACCTCCGGCGCCGAAATACCTCGCTCTGTAATATTAATGCTGGGTAGGTTATTTTCCTGGCTGTCGTGGAAAGTAAG